AATGTAGAAATTATTGATTATTGTCCTGTATATTGTGGGTATGTGTAGTCACAGTAGTCTAGATATTTGATAATGTCCTGAAGTGAGATGAATGGATTGATGGTGGATTTAGCCCAGTTTACACAGTATTATGCTGCCATGATGAACCTACCCTCTGGGTGGATGACATTCTGTGATTTCAATCTTTCACTCGCCGAACTGAGCAGCATTTTTAACCTTTGATTTCATTATGTACTGTTTGTTATGACCAAATCCAACACTAGCCTCAGTTGACCCAGTCGTGTAATGTGTCACAAATCACTGCATTGCATCCCTCAGGCTGTGATCTTTTGGTTTATATCTGATCAGCTGTGAATTTCACTGTGGCACTTAGTGCTATTGCCTCGTAGCCTATGACTATTTGAGAACCACCATTCATTCATTCCAGGGGGCGATGGGGTAGCCTAGTGGTTAAAGTGTTCACTCATCACGCCAAAGGCCCGGGTTCAAGTCCTCACATGGGTACAATGTGTGAAGCCCATTTCAGGTGTCCCCTGCTTGTGATATTGCTGGAACATTGCTAAAAGCGGTGTAAAACCCAACTCATTCATTCATGCATGTTTCAATGTGATAATTGGCAAGATCTCTCTAAAGGACAAGCCATATTTAAACCTACTCCGTTGATGATTCTGTGTAAAAAAGATTTCTGTAACTATCGTATCAGGATAGAAAGGTTAAAATGGTCTTATGAACAATTGGAATTTTTTGTCATGTGTGGTTTATGTACATCAGGGATCTCGAATGTCATATTTTTGGTACTTGGTCATAATGTTAAAGCCCTTGATGGCTTTTATGGGTTTGCTTGAACGTTCCATATCTGTAAGTGTCATAGGAGTGGATATTATTATGAACACAGGGTGGTGGGGTAGCCTAGTGGTTAAAGATCCGCTCATCACACTGAACACTTTGGTTTTGATTCCCCCACATGAGAACAATGTGTAAAGCCCATTTCTGGTGTCCCCTGATGTGATATTGCTGGAATGTTGCTAAAAGCGGCGCATAATGTGTAAAGCCCATTTCTGGTGTCCCCTGACGTGATATTGCTGGAATGTTGCTAAAAGCGGCGTATAATGTGTAAAGCCCATTTCTGGTGTCCCCTGATGTGATATTGCTGGAATGTTGCTAAAAGCAGCGTATAATGTGTAACGCCCATTTCTGGTGTCCCCTGACGTGATATTGCTGGAATGTTGCTAAAAGTGGCGTATAACTGACCACCTCATTTATTACTATAACCTAAGTGAGTCCTTGCTGGAATGTGTTTCACTGACAACTTTGACTTTGTTTGAATGACACGACACTTAAATTTAACTTTTATTTCATGTAAGAGAATATGTGGTATCATTAGCTGCTATGATGAACCTACCCTCTGGGTGGATGACGTCCTGTGATTTCAATCTTTCACTCGCCGAACTGAGCAGCTTATGTAATTTAGTTTTTCTCTGAATGCAACAGGGCCGGTGGGGTAGCCTAGTGGTTAAGGCGTTCGCTTGTCATGTCGAAAACCCGGGTTCGATTCCCCACATGGGCACAATGTGTTAAGTCTATTTCTGGTGTCCCCCGCCGTGATATTGCTGGAATATTGCTAAAAGCGGCGTAAAACTAAACTCACTCACTCACTCACTCACTCTGAATGCAACTGGTACCTGAAAGTCTTACAAGGACATTTGTGTAGGTTTTCTATTTCAATGTGTATGTTCGTTTCCAGTCATTAAGTGATACATTTGTCTGTTTCAGTTTGAGAGTGAGAGGTCAGCACACAAAGACCACAGGACGTCGTGGAAGAACCGTTGGTGTGGCAAAGAAGAAGTAAAATCTCCGCAGCTCTGTAAATGTCAAAATAAACAAGAAAAACTCAATGCTTGTGGTTTTGTACATTCTCTATTTTGAATACTATTTGTACCCGTGAAGGTCCGGGTTAGAATTTTGATCTTCAGTAACACATGCTTGTCGTAAGAGGCAACTGTCATGATCAGGTGGTCAGGCTCGCTGACTTGGTTGACACATGTCATCGGTTCCGACTTGTGCAGATCGATGATCATGCTGTTGATGACTGGATTGTCGGGTCCAGACGCGATTATTTACAGACCGCCACCATATAGCTGGAATATTTGAGTGACGTAAAACTAAAGTCACTCACTCAAATACTATTTGTGAGGATTTGCTCCCAAGAAACCCATGCTGGTCATTAGAGGCAACTTGATGGATAGGAATCAGACTCGGTGACGAGGAACATTGCAAGAACCCTGATGAAATAGACTGTGCTCATGATATCAATCACTGTCTTGTCGAACCCTGAAGATCCAGGTTAGAATTGGTCTTCAGCAACCCATGCTTGTAGTAAGAGGCGACACCCGTGAAGATCCAGGTTAGAATTGGTCTTCAACCATCCATGCTTGTCATAACAGGCGACAGAGTTTAAAGAACCACTAAACTTTGTTTTTTGTTACTCTTTTAACCATTACATATGAAAGATTTGTGGTTAGTCTTATGCGGAACACCAAATTTGTTCTTTAAAAACTTGTGGTTAATTAATACCGAGTGATTAAGAGTGGCCAAAAAGTCGCCTGCTTCCCTCTCGCCCGCCAACCAAACCACAGACAGGTTACGTAACTCTGTCGCCAGAGCACTGCAGTGACGTCATATGAGGAACGATTTTCAGTTAGTTGTATAGAAAGTGTGTAGCACGCTCATCATTTTGATGATTTCTCGACATCAACGGCGACATGCCGTGATCGTTGCTTTGACGCCAATTGCTCCTAGGGGTCAGGCGATGGTGAATGTCACCATGCACAGATTTCCACAGGACCCGCGCAGTTCGTGCTAAATGGGTTATGTTTGTGAGTGAGCGGCGAAGTGTTGTGGAAGCCTGAAACGATATCTTACTTGTGTTCAGATCGCTTCACGGAAGTTAAAGAATCAAAACTACTTACTAGTTGTAGTAAAATATGTATATGATTGATGACCATAAAGATTTTCTATGACACAACTTGTAACATAACGATTTCTTCCTCGGAAGTGAGGTTGAGTCGGCTAACAATAATATTGTAAGTAGTATTATATTGACACCCACCTGGCTGCCAGAGAAATTGTTATGTTATACGCTATGTCATGCAAAATCCTATTGGCCATCAATAAAATACATATTTTACTACCAGTAGAAAGTAGTTTTGATTTTGTAACCTCGGTGAAAACAAACCTAAATAGCATTTATCCTCACACTGGCGGATGTTCCCGACAGGGCTTACGCCATTTTTGAAAATCGTGAAGTCTGTTAGAATTAATGAGATTATAGTTTGTTTTCATCAAGTTAGAAAATCAAAACTACTTTCTACTCGTGAAGTTAAATATGTATTGGAATCATAACCAAACGGATTTTGCATGACACAACTTATAACATAACGATTTCTTCCACGGAAGCGAGGTGGGGGTCAAGTCACAATACTGCTGTGATTAATTTCTTGCTACATTCACATGGTTAATGTCCACTCACCAGTATGTAGATACTAGTCAATGTGCGTCTTTATATTTGGTCTTATAATCCTAATTAGTTTATTATCATACTTGTATACATTTTGAAACGAAATAAAAAGCAGACGATCTGCTGATACTTATAGTGAATTTATAACAGAACTGTAATATCTAGACATTTTAGTTTGCTAATGTGAATCATAATTCGCACACACACCCTAGTGTATGTTGTCTGTCTCATTACACTTCACGGCGAAAACAATGATTCTGTTGAATGCTACGACAAATGAATAAAAACAAAATGCAAATATTAACATTAAAACAGATTAAAGTTATAGGAACAATATCAGGCCATTACCTCGTTCGAGGAATGTATCCATCAATATCCACAAAACTGTTCCAAATGATGTGTCTTTTAACAGTTTAATATACTGAAAAGTGATAAATCTTTTCAGGTATTGGTGTATAGTCTCATTGGTCACCCAAGATAGCACACCTGGCAACTAATTGCATAATGTCCGCCTTTCTTTAAAAAACAGTAATTTAGTTAGCCAATAATGGGCAATCAATCAATGTATTGCCGGGTTAATCCTTTGAAAGAAGGATCGTTGCGTTATGCAGACACCGACACGACAGAGTGTATTCAGTATAGATAAGTAAATCTACATACATAAACACTACCTTTGACAATTCCGCTCCCAACTCATTCATACTTGGCCGATAATGTTAAAGCCCTTGGCAGCTTTTATGGGTATGCTTGAACATTCCATGTCTAAGTGTCATAGGAGTGGACATTATTATTAACACGGGGTGGTATCCACTCATCACACTGAACACTTTGGTTTTGATTCCCCCACATGAGAACAATGTGTAAGGCCCATTTCTGGTGTCCCCTGACGTTGATATTGCTGGAATGTTGCTAAAAGCGTATAATGTGTATGCAAAGCCCATTTCTGTTGTTCCCTGGACGGATATTGCTGGAATGTTGCTAAAAGCGCTTAATGTGTAAGGCCCATTTCTGTTGTCCCCTGACGTGATATTGCTGGAATGTTGCTAAAAGCGGCGTTTAATGTGTAAGGCCCATTTCTGTTGTCCTCTGACGTGGATATTGCTGGAATGTTGCTAAAAGCGGGCGAAACTGACCTCCTCATTTATTACTATATAACCTAAGTGAGTCCTTGCTGGAATGTGTTTCACTTGACAACTTTGACTTTGTTTGAATGACCACGACACTTAAATTTAACTTTCATTTCATGTAAGAGAATATGTGGTATCATAAGCTGCTATGATGAACCTACCCTCTGGGGGATGTATTCTTGTGCATTATGTAATTTAGTTTTCATGTGAAAACCATGGCAGCTTATTGCTAATTTGCTAAAGTTTTCCTCTGAATGCAACACAGATTGAAAGTCTTACAGGACATATTTGTGTAGGTTTTCTATTTCCAATGTGTATTTCGCTTCCAGTAATTATGATACATTTGTTTGTTTCAGTTTGAGAGTAAGAGGTCAGCACACAAAAGATCTCACAGGACGTCGTGGAAGAACCGTTGGTGTGGCAAAGAAGAAGTAAAATTCCAAGAGCTCTGTAAAATGTCAAAATAAACAAGAAAAACTCATTCTCCATTTTGAATACTATTTGTCCGTGAAGGTCGCTTAGAATATTGATCTTCAGTAACACATGCTTGTAAGAGGCGACATGATCGGGTGGTCAGGCTTGCTGATTTGGCTGACACGCCATTCGGTTCCGACTTGTGCAGATCGATGCTGATGCTGTTGATCACTGGATTGTCGGTCCAGACGCCGATTATTTACAGACCGCTGCCATATAGCTGGAATATTGCTGAGTGGCATGTAAACTCACTCCGCGGAATACTATTTGTGAGGATTTGTCAAGAAACCCATGCTGGTCATTAGAGCAACGCAAGCTTGAAAATAGATTGTGCTCATAATATCAATCACTGTCTTGTCAACCCAGGTTAAATTGGTCTTCAGCCCACCCATGCTTGTCATAAGAGGCTACCCCCTGAAGGTCCAGGTTAAATAACCCATGCTTGTTGAAGAGGCTACCTTAAGATCAATTGGTCTTCAGTAACCCATGCTTGTGTAATTGGCTTACACCCTGAATGATCCAGGTTAGAATTGGTCTTCTCAGCAACCCATGCTTGTCATAAGAGAAGCACACCGTGACGATCCGGTTTAAATTGGTCTTCAGCAACCCATGTTTGTCATAAGAGGTGACTAACGGGATCAGGTGGTCAGGCTTGCTGACTTATTGCACATGTCCGATCCCAACTGCACATGCTGTTGCTCACTGGATTGTTGATCACTGGATTGTTGGTCCAGACTTTCGATTGTTACAGACCACCACCATATAGGCTGGAATATTGCTGAGCACGGTGTTAAACAACCAACCAAAACCAAATCACCGGATTGTCTTTTGCAAACTTGTTTAATTGATAACATCTAGTTAGAATATTGCTGAATCTTCTAAATGTATTGTTCAGTAGGCGTGAACAATGGAATATTGGTCATGTTGACTTTGAGCCCAGCATTTGACTGCATCCTTTCAAATCTCAAAACAATAACACGTCATCACTTCATCACAACATAAAGTTACTAAAGCTATCCCTTCCCTGTAACTCAAGTTAATTTAGTTCCCTAAAAACAGGGGCTGTAGATGAATTCTGCATCGCACTCACAAGCCATTTTCCTCATATGGCTGAATATTGAGAAGCGGCGCGAACCAAACTCAGTGATTCAGTCAGTGAAATACAAACACCTTTTCAAAACAGCATGAGAATCTGCACTTTTGTTGTCAAAAGGTCGATTTAAGTCAATTAAAGGTCGAAATGAGTAGTTTTAATCTCTGGGGTTTCATTTATTGTTTATCATTGTTAGAATTGATATTGAAACAGTTGGAAATGGGTATATGTGATCTTTAAGAACTTAAGTTTCATCATTGCAATAGATAGTCTTAGTTAAGATAATAGGAAAGATTAAAATCAACTTCTGACAACCTCCAATGGAATTTAGGCACTTTTATTGTAAACCAGCTGAACTTTTATATAAAAAAGCCCAGCCTACACATAATGTGCTTCCAGATGTTTATTTCTTCCCTACCATCATGTGGCTGATAAAATAAACCATATAAATGACCAAGTTTGAACTGGTGCAAAACACAGTTTCATCTTTACTTTTGGGCTGCTTTGTTATTTGTCGCCACTCGGCAGCTATGTGAAAAATGTTATTTGGTTGGATTCTTTTTGCAGTTTTGCTCAGGTACTTCTCCAACTGATTACTGATCAATATTTAGTTAAGGATTATCAATCGCTTATTATCCATATCGATGGCCAGCCCTAGCTGTATCAATTGTGACCATGTCAGGTCTGCCTGACTCCGTCCATTTCAAGCTGCTGAATTACACTCGAATGCTTTTGCAAGTTGTTGGATACAATTTTAATCATATTTTATTTACACATCATACACTGATTCAGCTTCAGCTAGACATTCTTCTTGCTGAATCTGCTGAGAACACTAAGTCTGTGACCTTCATTCTTTGTCTGGTCACGGGACTTCTCCTGTTTCAGTTTGTTTGACTCCCGAGCTACTTCTCTTCTCATGGAGTCCTTGACCTCTTGTTTCCTGTATTCAACTTTCCCTGCCTTGCTCTTGCCTCTCATCTTGTACCGTGGGGCAAAATCTGACTTCTCCACCTTTAGAAACTGAAAAGTCAAAACACAGAATAGTGAGCTTGTGAATCGGTCAGCTGCAATTAATACCGCTTTGGACAGTATTTATTTTGTTTTAGAACTACACTTTTACTGTAAACGTATTATATTTCGCGCGGTTTTATTTTCGCGCAAAACATTTTAGCGGATTACTGTGTACTAGTATATCGCACAGATAGGGATTTCCTGTGAGTAAGCAATAAACGCCGCCTGACAGGTTAAGCCACTCTGTTTGTTTTCTGCTATTAGTGGCGGCCAAAGAGACAGCTGGCAGTTCCGGCAATTACTGATTGCGGGAATAATTGACCGCGCGATGTAGTCTAAACTGTCAATTCCGCGAAAATTGCACCACGCGAAAATAAGTACGTTTACAGTAAATAATGCACTTATCCAGATAGTATCTGCCCAGATACAGAATAACTGTTACCCGATGATGTGTGAAACCCATTTCTGGTGTCCCCCTCCGTGATATTGATGGAATACTGCTAACAGCAGCGTAAAACTAAACTCAATCACTCACTCACTATTACCCGATGAACAGATCAGTTTATTTCCAAATTATCATCTTGGGAGTAGACAACCCACATTGCCTGGGACATTTAAAACGGTTTTTACATCAACCTCTCATAACAGATACTCTTTCCCTGTATGCTGAACATTTTTCCTGTCTTTTGTTTGATGTTTAACGCTGCCACACTCGACAATATTAGAGCTACATCAAAGCGGTCAGTAAACAATTGAGTCTAGACCAGACAATCCTGTGATCAACAGCAAGAGCATTGATCTACACAAATGGGATGACCACCCAATCCCGTTAGTCGCCTCTTACGACAAACACGGGTTGCTGAATACAAATTCTAACCCTGATCTTCATGGGTGGCTGGCTGTACAGAGTACATTTGAACAAAGTCACTTGTAACATATGTTATATTCGGGATTACACTTTCTTTGTAAAGTACAGATTCTAGTACTTTTGTTGGTATGAGTACTGTACTTTACTAAGAAAGTGTAATCCCAAATATAACATATGTTACATTTGACCACTTTCTAAATGGCATTGTGTATTTCATAAAGTCACTTGCCCAGGGTGCATCATTTTCTGTACCTGCTCCTGATTTATCTATCTTGATGTTCGACTTACCTCCAGTTTATTCTTCTCTTTGATCATCTCATCGTAGCTCTTCGCCTCAATCTCACCTACTTTCTTTGTGTCCAGGGTGATCATATCTATGGGAATCTGAAAAGGAAATCAAATCATGTCTCACACAGTGCTTTCTCATGCTCACATGGGGCCAAATATCACCCGCAATTTCATATATGTCCTTTTCTGGCACACACTTAACCATAGAATACATATCATTATTTCTTTTTCATTCAAAAATATTGATAATACAGCACCTGTTTATGAAAAACAAAAAATGTTTCACTAAGGGCCCCATTATAACTTATGGTTGGGGGTGGGGTGGGGCTGGGAGGGAGAGGAGAGAAAGAAAGATGGTGATTTTAGAGGGGGGGTCACCCATTTTGTTCTGGGGAGGTAGGAGGGTCATCAATTTTTTACACATGAACTAGGGGGATCAGCAATTTTGTACATAAAAAAATTATTCACATTGTACATGCTTCTGCATAAAAATCATCATCACACCCCTTTGCCATAAATTATGAACAGTCCCTAAACATGAAAAGGTAATATGCTGATCGAAAACAAAAAGAGAAATACCTTGTCAAGCAGCATCTTGACCTCGGCCTGTCGTCGCTGTTTCTTTGTCTGGTATGGATTCACCTCCAGAGCATCAAAGTTGGCCTCTCCAGACCCTGCACAAATACAATCAGACATAAAACTCATGCAGTAGACATTTCAAGCACTGAACAGGACTAGAACAGCTTCAATTGAAGTGGGGTCGGTGGGGTAGCCTAGTGGGTAAAGCGTTGGCTCGTCACGCCGAAGACCCGGGTTCGAATCCCCACAAGGGCACAATGTGTGAAGCCCATTTCTGGTGTTCCCCGCCGTGATGTTGCTGGAATATTGCTAAAAGCGGCGTAAAACCAAACTCAGTCAGTCAGTCAATGGAAGTGCGAGGACCCATGTCTGTTGAGTGAAAATATTTAGCATTATGCAACAAACCCATCTTGGAGTGAGCTAGTTGGGTTTCGCAATACTTAGAGCAGTAATTCAATTACATCTTGGTTTGATGTCTATGATATTTGTGAATGCATACAAAGTCTACAGACAAGAAATTTGATGAATTCAGAATTCAGACCCACAACCAACAGATCCCTGCACAGATACTGGAGGCAACTCTGAGCAATCACATTTTACAGACCAAGACCTAATGATCACAACACTGATTTTTAAAGCAAAGCACGGACTGGCACCATCTATCGTTATCCTAAAGATCATGTTCCACCTCGATCATTATGATCCAGCAACCGAAATCTCGCTCTACTTCCTATGGTGACAGAACATTCAAAAAAGCTGGTCGAGTACTTTGGAATTCCCTCCCAGACAACCTCAGACACATTCAGGAACTATCAGACTTTAAGTCTGGCTTGAAAAGGCACTTCTTCAGTTTTTCATACAACTGAATACCCTTTGTCAGAGCTGGATTTCCTCAAAAGCTCCTTTGAGCAGACTTTCATGGACTGGATACAGGCGCTACCTGTACTAGGGGTGACTATTGAGGGGGAAACAACTATTGCGATAGCGACAGTCTATTGCAACATACTATTGCAATAGCGATACTGCAATACTAGTGCAATAGTTTTTTCTCCTTGAATTGTCTTATTGAAGTCATTTCCCAAATGAATGTATAGCTTACATGAAATGAAAACAAGTTGAAGTAGTTTCTGTCTCTTAATAACTGACTTGAAACCCAGATCAAGTTTGTTTAAGAGGTAACTGGGGCGAATAACTCTAAATCAAAGTGAACGAATCTGTTACTTCCTGTATTTTGCTCTGCACATTTATCAACGGAAGTCAATTACTGATAGTCACACATACTATCAATGCATGGATAGCTTTTTGTTTCTACCATCAACTAATTGCTATCGGAGACTCAACAATTGCAATGCATCAATAATTCAATGCATCGTTACCGCCCTAATCTATACCATCGGAGTACATGCAGGCCTCGGGGGACCTCACGTCTTGTTGCTTCTCATGCCTCTTGCTTGCTTCTCCTCATGGAGGACCTGGTCAAGGAAATCAGACTGCAGACTCACCTGGAACAAGGAGACTGGCAAATCCCGTCGAGTGGCTCACACCAAGGACATCCTCATATGGACAGAACTGTACACTCCTGATGGACGACGGGATGCGGTGGTGCATGTAAGGGGAGGTAACTGTCTGGTGACAGCAGTCGTTAAACACCTGAAATTGCCAATGTACACACCTGTCACAATATAACCTCAGATGATGGTGCTGTGATTGGAAATGTGTTATACTGCTTTCAACAATTCCTGCAATATCACAAACAGAGACCAAGAATGCATTCCGGTTTTTATGTGTATAAATCGATAAATTGAAAGTTATTTTTTACAAATATTCATTGTATGTCAACAAAAACAGCTTCACAAACTGCTAACTGAATCAGTAACATTCCATGTATTACATCACACATTTGATGGTGGAACTCAAGTGCCTGACCTGGACGACGTTGCCCATGCCAGCAGCGACCATGCCCTGCTGACTGAAGGCAAGGGAACCTGCCCCTGTCTGCAGCTGGTAACACTGTAGTGCCCTATATGTCCTCAGATCCCAGATTTTCAGTTTCCCATCAATCCCAGAGGAAGCCATGTACCTAAATATAGAGTGAGTGAGTGAGTTGGGTTTTATGTCACTTTTAGCAATATTCCAAGGGACACCAAAAATGGGTTTCACACATTGTACCCATGTGGGGAATTGAACCCGGGTCTTCGGCATGATGAGCGAACGCTTTAACCACTAGGCTACCCCACCGCCCCTAGGGCGAGTGAAGGAGTGAGTGGTAGGGTGAGGGAGAGTATGGCAAGGGACTGGATAAGTAACATTATGCTAACAATTTAAGCCTTCCAATATCAATAATCTTGATAGAAATTTCGCACCACTTTACTTATACCTGTAGCATTGTTTCAGCTACTTCCGGTTGTTGTATATAGGAGTCTAACCCTAACCCTGCTAACCCTAACCCAAACCCTAACCTTACGATCATGCGCAGAAAATACATTTAGTGGTACTGGTAGAAGTAAATCTACCCGAAATTTCAAACAAAAAGGATCCCGAGCCAGATGAGAGATTTCTTAAGGGCCATGAAGGGAATTATAATGTTCAATAGATCATGTGTAATATGACATTTCATTAGCCCAATAATTGAAGAAATTCTGTCCACACAATCAAGAGGCAGTACAGGACAATTAATTTTCATGAAATGTTACACCCTAACACTTACTTTCCTGAGTTGTCTACAGCCAGGGATCTCACACTCCCAATGTGACACAGCAACTTGGCTGCATAGCTCTTCAGGTTGGGAGTCCACAAAGTTACAGTACCTACACACACAAATCATTAAACATTGTCAACTTACAAATCATAAGTGAAGCTTTATACAGTCAGTGGGTTATACAATGCTTAGATCAGTATTCCAGTTATATCTGTTTGTTTCTTTGTTTGTTTGTTGGGTAACACCACACAGGGCAATATTTCAGCTATATGGCAGCAGTCCTAAAATAATTTAGTCAATCCAGTGAGCCATGATCTATGCAGCTATATGTGGGAGAAACGACTGAAGTGATACAAGTCTTACACATCTACAGCCCATTTGATTTCATTTGAAACCGATGAATTGCTCACTAACACAAAATCTAATAACTGCAACAAAACCAAATTTTGCACAGTCACATGAAATCGACAGACCAACTCTGATGATTTGTCTCATAATTTTGGACACCCGGAAAAAAAAAGTTGTGAACAAACGATCATCATTTCGTTGTCCCTTTTCGCTATTTTTTTACGAGGGGGGGCCACTTGCTGGTAGAACAGCCAGGTAAATTGAAATTTCGAACTTGCAAGTCAGCGAGCCTGACCCCCAATCCCGTTAGTCAGTTACGACAAGCATGGGTTGCTGAAGACCAGTTCTAACCCGTATCTTCATGGATTGATCCCGAGGATAACTCTGTTGACACTGACTGTTATTGTTTGGTCTCACCTCCTGGGTGACCCAAATGAACCACAGCATTGCTGCGGTTCTGACACATGACGTCTAGACGACCACTGTTGGTGTAGATTCCGGCCACCTTCTTCCCTACCGACGTGTCCACATACGTCAGGAAACCCTTCGCACTCTGGAACAAAGGAAACATAACTGATCTTCGGATAAGGTGTTATCGCCATAAATATTTACATCAACTCAACACAGTGCTGTAGTATCCTTAAATCTACCATTGTGGTAAGTCCATATTAGGTATCAGTGATACGATCACCTTAACGCTAAGAGTGAGTGAGTATGGTTTTATGCCACTTTTAACAATATTCCAGCAATGGAGACACCAGAAATGGGCTTCACACATTGTACCCATATGGGGAATCAAACCCGGGTCTTCGGCGTGACGACAAACCGCTTTAACCATTAGGCTACCCACTGCCCCCTTAACGCTAAGATCACATTGTACTTCCTCACCAAGCAACTTCACACATCTACTCACTGCAGTGGCTAGGAGGAAGTGATACGGCAGGAACTCCATCCTCAGAGCCGTGTCAATGGCCTTGAGGCAGTGCAGCTCGATGCCCTGGTTGTCATAGATATACGTCCACTGTCGCTGGGCAACAGCAAACATGGTCTCCTGGTGGAGCCATCTAGGGACAGAATGTGGGACCTGTACTAGTTGCAGAGACGAGGATTCACATAGGTTTGTGCAGCAAATGGGAAACAGATCATTTCGTAACTATATTGTGATTTTGAAGGAAGTCCCTATTACCTAACAATTTAGATATTACTTTCAACATATACTACTCAACTATTGAGAAGGATAATAGTGCATATTTATAATGCGCACATATCCACGCCGTAAGCATGCTCACGGTGGCTCTAACACATTATTACTCCGGATAACCCGAGCGGCCTGTTAGGCGCTAGAAGGTTATAGTCACAGGACTTATCCCACCGGGTACCCATTTTCTGCTGGGTGAACAGAGGCAATTTTGAACAAACCCACTTGCTTAATGTGAGATAACACGTCATTCTAGTTACATATACACTCGACATATCATGGGAATCATTTTGGTGTATCATGGAAAGATAACAGTATCCCTTTCAAAAGTAGACTAGTATATAAAGGAAAATTTTAGCATCTGCAGCTTCAGACATTTGTACTGCCAAGGATTAGTGTAAACCATACTGCAGTAGTGTCAGAGTTAAACATGGTTTATTCCGCCAGTTTGAGACCTTTCCAATTTGTAGTTTTGCTTCAGAATTATCAGCCTCCAATGAGTGAGTGAGTGAGTTTAGTTTTACGACGCTTTTAGCAATATTCCAGCAATATCATGGCAGGGGACACTAGAAATGGGCAAAAATTGAATGCAAACAAAGGCAGTTGTTATCCATTCCTTGTATGTTTCCTAATACTTTTCTGAACTAACACCTACTTGACATCATTCACCGTTTCCATGACATTGAACTCGCACATAAGTTTCTTTGTCTGCCAATCAAAGGCAGCCATGTGACCTTTGGCCCCTCCCAGCAAGAGATGTCTGCAAACAATTACAGTCATTCAGTTCATAGTAAGAAGCAAACCTGTCATCAACAAAATCCTGGCAGAAATTTATCCTCTCAGAGAAATATTTTCTGTTCTGTTCACATCATGAAGATTGAAATCATGGTCTGTAAATAATCAAGTCTAGACCAAACAATCCAGTGATCAACAACATGAGCATCGATCTACGCAGATGGGATATGATGACAGGTGTCAACCAAGTCAGCTGGGATAAGCCTGATCACCCACTCCTGGTAGTTGCCTCTTACAAGCAAGGGTCACTGAAGACCAATTCCAACCAGGAATGTCACAGGTGTTTTCTTGGAACACAAAACAATTCTCAACATGCTTTTCTGTTAAGAAGTCTTTCCACAAGTATACATGGTTATCACTTGTATTTCTTCTCAACGTGACTTACACCATCTCAGAACAGCCCTATATTCAGGTGAGTATCAAATCAGATGTCAAAGACCGTATTTCCCTAAATAATTGTCCATACATACCTCCCATTTCGTGTGTAGTTTAACTGGTATGGACCAAAGTCTTTTAATGTCAGTTCAAAATACTGAAATGTAATGCATAGATTCAGATCAAAAACATCACAAAGAAGTACAATATTGAGATGCCGACTACCAAAAGCAGCTTGTGAAAACAACAACTTTGTTACCATCACACAAGACCCATGTATAACCATATAACAGACAGATATGCATCATGGGGATTTTGTAGTCATTGATACAAGGGAGACAACTATCTGAGAGAAGAATACCTTCCATGTTTCTGACAGCTTGCCAATAAATTTCAAAGGTATACATCATTTGTGAAAGAATTTCTATAAAGAAATTGGGTAACCAGAACATAGAAAGATTACAACATGCATCATTTGAAAAGCCTATTGCAGTATACCAGAAGTGCATTACGACAAGTTCTGTGACATGGTCTTCCATAAACTCACCTTCTGTGCACTGAGAATGTCTACAGAGTCCACAATATCCTGCTGTGTTATATCAGCAGTTATCTCCCCTTCCTCTGCTTCCAAGAATCTGCAACACGATACAACAGGCAATACATTAATTATAAAATCGATGTTATCCAGCGTACTGCATATCCATTCTGTTATGATAAATACTCATGACCATTTCACAAACACTTCCTCAGTACACCCTCACTACATGATTTGGTTCATAACTGTAACCTCATTTAGGCCATGCTTGACAAAAACTTCACATCAGCAGAAATGTTACGCATCACTGAAAGCATTATTTGGAAAAAGGATCTGGCAGGAAAGAAATGATGTGAATCCAAAATGCCACCAATGTATTTGTGATGGTAAAGAAAGTCATGATGGGTGATGATCACTCCCTACCCAACTACATCAGAGAGAATTGTTTCACCCCCTACCCAACTACATCACAGAGAATGTGTTTCACCCCTAACCAACTACATCACAGAGAATGTGTTTCACCCCTACCCGCCTACATCACAGAGAATGTGTTTCACCCCTACCCAACTACATCACAGAGAATGTGTTTCACCCCCACACCCACATCATCACAGAGAATGTGTTTCACCCCTACCCAACTACATCACAGAGAATGTGTTTCACCCCTACCCAACTACATCACAGAGAATGTGTTTCACCCCCAGAATACCCCTACCCGGCACATCACAGAGAATGTGTTTCACCCCCACCATACCACATCACAGAGAATGTGTTTCACCTCACCCTACCACAGAGAATGTGTTTCACCCCTACCCGCCACATCACAGAGAATGTGTTTCACCCCTACCCACCTACATCACAGAGAATGTGTTTCACCCCTACCCATCACAGAGAATGTGTTTCACCCTACCCGCCTACATCACAGAGAATGTGTTTCACCCCACCCAACTACCGTTTCACCATCCTACATCACAGAGAATGTGTTTCACCCCCACCAACATCACAGAGAATGTGTTTCACCCCTACCCGCCTACATCACAGAGAATGTGTTTCACCCCCTACCAACTACATCACAGAGAATGTGTTTCACCCCTACCCGCCTACATCACAGAGAATGTGTTTCACCCCTACCCACCTACATCACAGAGAATGTGTTTCACCCCCCACCACCTACATCACAGAGAATGTGTTTCACCCCCACCCAACTACCCACCTACATCACAGAGAATGTGTTTCACCCCTACCCAGACTACATCACAGAGAATGTGTTTCACCCCTACCACAACCCCTCACCTACATCACAGAGAATGTGTTTCACCCTACTCACCACATACATCACAGAGAATGTGTTTCACCCCCACCACCCCATACACACAGAGAATGTGTTTCACCCTACATCATCACAGAGAATGTGTTTCACCCCACCCTACCATACATCACAGAGAATGTGTTTCACCCCTACCCACCCCTACCTACATCACAGAGAATGTGTTTCACCCCTACCAACTACATCACAGAGAATGTGTTTCACCCCACCCAACTACATCACAGAGAGAATGTGTTTCACCCCTACCCAACTACATCACAGAGAATGTGTTTCACCCCCACAGAGACATGAACGTGTTTCACCCTACCAACTACATCACAGAGAATGTGTTTCACCCCTACATCCAGCTACATCACAGAGAATGTGTTTCACCCCTACCCAACTACATCACAGAGAATGTGTTTCACCCCTACCAACCACATCACAGAGAATGTGTTTCACCCTACCCAGACTACATCACAGAGAATGTGTTTCACCCCTACCCACCACATCACAGAATGTGTGTTTCTACATCACAGAGAATGTGTTTCACCCCTACCCCAGCCTACATCACAGAGAATGTGTTTCACCCCTACCCACCTACATCACAGAGAATGTGTTTCACCCTACCACATCTTACATCATCACAGAGAATGTGTTTCACCCCTGCCAGCCTACATCACAGAGAATGTGTTTCACCCCTACCCAACTACATCACAGAGAATGTGTTTCACCCCTACCACCTACATCACAGAGAATGTGTTTCACCCCTACCATACCTACATCACAGAGAATGTGTTTCACCCCTACCATACACATCACAGAGAATGTGTTTCACCCCACACCAACTACATCACAGAGAATGTGTTTCACCCCTACCCAACTACATCACAGAGAATGTGTTTCACCCCTACCCAACTACATCACAGAGAATGTGTTTCACCCCTCCACCACCACACATCACAGAGAATGTGTTTCACCCTACCCACCTACATCACAGAGAATGTGTTTCACCCCTACTCCCAACTACATCACAGAGAATGATGTGTTTCCACCCCACCCCAGAATGTGTTTCACCCTACATCACATCACACCACTACATCACAGAGAATGTGTTTCACCCCCTACCACCATTACATCACAGAGAGTGTTTCATGTGTTTCACCCCACCCAACTACATCACAGAGAATGTGTTTCACCCCACACCAACTACATCACAGAGAATGTGTTTCACCCCTACCCAACTACATCACAGAGAATGTGTTTCACCCTACCACAGAGAATGTGTTCTACATCACAGAGATGTGTTTCACCCCTACCCCAATCTACATCACAGAGAATGTGTTTCACCCCTACCACCACATCACAGAGAATGTGTCAATTTCACCCCCCACTACCATCACAGAGAATGTGTTTCACCCCCCATACCATCAGAGAGAATGTGTTTCACCCTCTCACCACCTACATCACCCTGGGAAGTTACCAGAATGTGTTTCACCCCCCACCCAACTACATCACAGAGAATGTGTTTTCACCCCCTACCCAACTACATCACAGAGAATGTGTTTCACCCCTACCAACTACATCACAGAGAATGTGTTTCACCCCCACCACCACCATCACAGAGAATGTGTTTCACCCCTACCCAACTACATCACAGAGAATGTGTTTCACCCCTACTCTGGTGTGTTTCCACCATACCATCCACAGAGATGTGTTCTTCCACAAGTGTGTCTCCATACATCTTCCTGAATGTTCCATTCCATCTGTTTCCTTTTGTGTGTTTTCTTCCATCCCTGGTCTTGTCCACGCTCCTGGTGTGTTTCCTTCCTGGGGTCTTCCTTCCACCCAGTGTGTGTTCCACCTTCACAGGTGTGTTTCCACCTGCTTCATCTGTGTTTCCTTTCACATGCGGTCTGGGGTCGTTCCTTCAGTCAGTGTTTCCATCCTGGGGTCGTGGTTCCTTCACATCCTGGAGGGATGTGTGTCTGGTCTGTTTCCTTGTCCGGTGTGTGTTCCTTGTTCCTTCCATCCTGCTTCCATCCGGTGTTCCTTCCGTGTTCCGTGTGTGTGTGCTGGGGTCCTTCCTTCTGGGGTGTGTGTCATCTTCCTTCTGGAGGTGTTCATCCTGGAGGTTTCTTTCTGTCTTCCATTCACAGGTCATTCCACTGCTTCACATCTGGGGTGTGTCCATCTGGGGTCTTGTTTCCTGGTGTGTTCCTTCCTGGTCGTGTTTCCACTGTTCTGGTCCATGCATCTGGAGGATGTGTTTCATCACAGGTGTGTTCCACCTGCAGCTACATCTGGGGATGTTTCCTTGTCCTGGAGGTCGTGTTTCCTTGTGTCACAGGGTCGTTTCCTTCTGGAGGATGTGTTCCACCTTCACAGGGTCTTGTTCCTTGTCTGGGGATGTCCTTCCTTCACAGGGGAGTGTTTCCACCTTCTGTTTCCTGCTGGGTGTTTCCACAGGGTGTGTTTCCACAGGGTGTGTTTCCACATGCCAGTCGTGTTTGTGTTTCCTTGCATCCTGTGTGTTCCTTGGTCGTGTTTCCTTCCTTCACAGGGAATGTGTGTCCACAGTGTGTTCCATGCCATCTGGGGTGTGTCCACAGGGCTGTGTTCCACCCCTGCTCTGGGGTGTGTTCCATCCTGGGGTCTTCCACCATCCTGGGGCGTGTGTCATCCAGGTGTGTTTCCACCTTGGGGTGTTTCCTTGTGTCACAGGGTCTTCCACTGCTTCACAGGGTGTGTTTCCTTGGGGTGTGTGTCTGGGGTCGTGTTTCCTTCCACTGTCCAGGGTGTGTTTCCTGTGTCCTGGGGCGTTTCCACATCCTGGGGTGTGTTCCTGTCTGGGGTGTGTTTCACATCTGTGGGGTCTTCCTTGGGTCGTCGTTTCCTGGGGTGTCTGGGATGTGTTTCATCTGGGGTCTTCCTGCTGGGGTGTCCTGGGATGTTTCTTCCATCCATGGCTTTGTTTCCACCATGCATCACAGGATGTGTTCCACCTTCCTTCGTGTTCCATGCTTCACTCTAAGAATGTGTTCCTTTATCCACAGTGTGTTCCACCACTGTCATCACAGAGGAATGTGTTTCCTTCCATCTGGGGCTCGTTTCCTTCCATCTTGGTGTTTCCCTGCTGGGATGTGTTTCCACATCCACAGGGTCAGTGTTCCATCCTGGGGTCGTGTTCATCACAGGTGTTTCACCACTGGGGATGTGTTTCCTTATTTCCTTCCTGGGGCGTTGTTTTCCTTCATCCTGGATGTGTTTCCACATCCAGGGTGGTCAGTTTCACTTACCACAGGGTGTGTTTCACTTCACAGGGGTCTTCCACCTTCTGTCCACAGTGTGGTTTCCATCCTGGGGCTCCACAGGGGTGTTTCCACTTCCGTGCTGTTCACAGGGTGTGTGTCCACCAGGGTCGTGGGGTGTCCACCCTGCATCACAGGGGTGTGTTTCCACTGTGTCCTGGGGTGTTTCCTGGGATGTGTTTCCACCCTCCACAGGGGTGTGTTTCCACCTGTCTGGTGTGTCCACAGGGATGTGTTCCTTCCTGGGGTGTGTTCACCATGCATCTGGGGTGTGTTTCCTGGGGTGTCTTTCCTTCCTCCGTTTCGTGTGTTTCCTCTTCCTCCTTGTGTGTTCTGTTTGGTGTTTCCTGGTCCCTGGGATGTCGTTTCCTCCTCCTGTGTGCTTGGCTCGGCCAGGGACAGCCTGGGACCTGTGGAGTCCACTCTCGCTCCTCCTGCCTCAGCCTGTGACTGTCCAGCCTGGATTCCGTTGCTCTCTGTCTGGAGTGTGCTTGGACTTAAAATCAATGCACTGGTTTGCACATTGGAAGAAACTAACTCACAATTGGGTGCAGTCTGTTATTGCATTCATTAAGGCCACTAACATGTTTATGTTTAAAGGCATTTATAGCATCTCCACTCTACCAACAGAAATCAATTAGATTCTGGAGTCCTTTGCAATGTGTAAAGAGTTCCTTTATTTTTAACATCTAATGAAGTGGAATTCCGGTTCAAATTATGAATTCATGAGTACATTTACAGTGGGTTTGGGACTACAGACAGTAGTGGAATTGTGACGATTCATCGTTACACATCGATGCATCGATCCATGGGCTACCGATTACAGTGAATCGATGTACAAAGTTTTTACGTTGATGTATTATATCCGCGATCACGACACTTCAAATGAACCACGATACATCAATGTTTTTACTTTGAATGTGTGTGAATCCAGAATATCCAGATCAAGGAAGAGACTTACTTTTCTTTGATGAGTTAAAATATATCCATACTTATTTTCCCTTCATAAGTTTCTCAGAAATTCTTACATCAGGAACAGTGTCCAAACATAGCACTTTCGCACTTCGTTAACAATCACAGAGTCTGTGGCATAAAGCTTGAATTATCTCATTTCGAGATGAACACTGAAAATGAGGTGAAATTTGATGGGAAATACTTTAAAATGGTTTTTGTTTTGATGTTAAAAGGTGTTTTTATGGTTGAGTGTTACAATTAAAGGTTTTAGTATCGTGATCGCATCCACATCACCACACTTGTATCAGGATTAGGTATGGTGTCGCTTGGCTTCAGTGCACAATACTTTGGTAACATGTAAATTAGGACAAAAATTGCTTATCGTGATGTATGGTTATCACGGTTGTAATGCCAATACCAGCACTACTGAACAGCCCTAGATAAATCCTTGACAATGCCCTAGTACTTACATTGGTCCGGTTCTCGTGCGAAACACCGTGATCAGCTTCTTCTCATCTCCTCATCTGGGACATCCCTGGGTGAGAAATTAGGTCTTCCTGGAACAGAGAGTGAGTGAGGGAGCTGGGTTTAATGGTTTGTGAAGTATTCAGTTCACAGCATGTCAACTTGATGCTGGAATTAAAATAAAAAATGACACTGTTTAAAATGTTAAGCTACTATCATGAAACCGCAACAGAGCATGCCTAGAAAACATGATAGAGGTGGATGTGGTATTCAAACCACTATACTAAAATCAAGGCACAACTAAACTACAAAACTCTACCAAGTGAATTATAGCACAAAGATGATTCAGACATAGGCAAAGGTGTAATATCCTTTTATTTCCATAATCCTTGATAATATCACGAGTGGGAGTTTAGTTTTAACAGCCGCACTTTCGGCAATATTACAGCTATAGGGCAGTGGACTGTAAATAATCAAGATCAAGTGTGGACCAGACGATCCAGTGATCAACAGCATGAGCATCAATCTAGGCAGTTGGGATATGGCGACAATTGTCAACCAAGTCAGAGAGCCTGGCCACCCGATCCTGTTAGCCACCTCTTGCGACAATCATGGGGTACTGAAGATAAATTCTAACCCAGATTTTCCGCGGGGTCTCATGATAATGTAACTGCATGAGAAGTGTCTGAGCTGACAGCATGGCAGGTATATTGTGTATTATCACGGTGCCAGCAAAACCATTATATGCTCAATCAGGGCTCAAGCTCATGTGGACCGCCTCCAGTGGTGTAGTGGTTAAAGCGTCTGCCCGGAGAGTGGAAGATCGCAGAGTTCGATCCCGACCAGCGTCATACCAAAAGGCGTTAAGATATGGTACTTGTTGGTCCCCTGCCTGGCTGGCTCGGCATTAATGGTTACAACAAGGACTGAAATTCGACTTCGAGTCAGTATAATGTGTCTGGAGTGGGGTATTCATGCTTCACTCTTGACATGGTATCTCAGTGGGCTAGCACTATAAAACCAGCTTAAGTCTGGGCTAGTACAAGCAGCGCTGCTCTACACATACACCGCGCATATGCATTCGTCGCCATATGAAGCGAAATATTCTCCAGAAGCGTGACGTTAAACCCAATTTCACCTCACCTCACCTCAAGCTCATGTTCCCGCGGCTGCTTGTCAAAGAAATACAGCAGGTACAATCACAATTTACAACAAGGAACCAAATTCATGCTACACATTCACTAAACCATGTTTAATGAAGAGTTATTTATTTCCCTGTGTTACTGTACAGGGCTTTAAAACATGTTTAGGATATTCTTTGTCACCAACAGCTGTCTGACTGTGGATGTATTGTTCAGCTTCGTTAAGGGAAAACATACCTGTGCGGGGATTTGACAACTTTGTCTGGTTTGTGCTTCCTGTATGACTTACTCATACCATATTCCCTCATGTGCGATTTTCCCTAACCTTTAGTAAACAACTGCTTGTGTTTGGATTTCCACTTAAAGCGTTTTTACTTTTGCTATCTATTAAATTAATCTAAATCTGGCACAAATGTCTTTGTTTTTTCATTCTGGTTGTTATTCTCCTGATTCTTCTTCCTCTTCTTCTTGTGTTTCTTTACCTGAAAATAAGATTCACATCAGTACCAGTAAATAAATCTAATATTGATTACAGTATCATCTCAAAATCTTGCCATATTAACGTAATGATCTAATAGCATACTCAAAGTTTTAGAGCAATGTCTGAGTACTGACCAAGTATAATTTTATGCCGCATTTAGCAATATTCCAGCAACATCACCCGGGGGGACACCAGAAATGGGCTTGATACATTGTACCCATGTGGGGATTCAAATCCCCGCCTTCAGCGAGACGAGCGAACACTTTAACCACAAGGCTACCTCACAAGAGCAATGGGAATACCCATTGGTTCAGGTGAGTGAGTGAGTTGAGTTTCACGCTGCTTTCAACAGTATTCCAGTAATGACCTGATGCAGGATCTTGATGAGGAGGGAAGCATGGCAGAAAAAACCCATGAGCAAATTCAATGAGTGAGTGAGTGGGTTTAGTTTACGCCGCATTCAGCAATATTTCAGCTATATGGCGGCGGTCTGTAAATAATCGAATGTCTGGACCAGACAATCCAGTGATCAATGTCATGGAGCATCGTTTCTAAGCGGTTGGGGAGCATATTCAAAGCGAGAGTTGGATACAAATACACAATTATAAGTTTCTGACATGTCCAAAGGGATGCAACTCTGCATGGAGAGTTGTGGAACCTCGAACATCTGGGCCGAACTGGATTAGTCAGAAACAGACATATACAAGTCATCGCCCAGATGGGAGGCTTTGATCTGAAAACTTCCAATTACAACAGCAGAATGTTGTTACTGTTATCTGATTGAGATACTACACAAAACATATTACAGGACTTTGACAAGTATGACTGAAGGAGAGTTTTCCTTACATTTAATTAGATGATGATGATGAACATAGCAGAATATGATATTGTCAAGAATGTTTGTAACAAGCGATAAGCATCTATTCATAGAAGCCCGGATCAGAGGTGCAGGGTGTGCATCCCTCCTTTTGTCCTGAAAGTTTGTTCAATGACCATTGAAACCTTCGGGTGAAAATGGAGTATTGTATGCACCCCAATTTTCTCAATAGTGTACCCCTTTCTCAAAAGCTGCATCCAAGCCCTTTCTATTGCAATAAAGAAGCTGTCTATCCATAAAAGTGCTCCTCTTCATCATACCAGCTTCTAAATGCCACTTACAGAAGTGACCGTGAAGATCCGAGGGGTAGAGTGGGTCTTCAACAGCTATGTGCTTGCCATAAAAAGCGTATCTTGTCGTGAAATGCGACTAACGCGGGATCGAGATGGTCAGTCCAGTTTGATATGGTTGACACATGTCATCGGTTCCCACAGTGCGCCCAGATCGATGCTCATGCTGTTGATCACTTTCTTGGATTGTCTGGTCCCAGACTTCGATTGTTTACAGACCGCCATACATATGGCTGGAATATTGCTGGAAGTGTGGCGTAAGCTAAACTCACTCCACTCACTCACTTACAGAAGTTAACAATATGCAACTAAATTTAAATGTATATATGACAAAAGTATATATATACAGTAAAAACACTTAGAATTTATGGTTATGTCGTGAAGTATGAGATTGGTCCCTGCATAATCTTTATGTAAGTCATCATTTTGTGATTGTGTTGGACCTCCACACCTCAGGTATACCATAGGTGCCTTCACTTTTTGACATAACAGTGTTTGACTGAATATACTCAATCAGGAGTTTGCCAACAGGCCTATTTATTATATACGGGGATCAGGCTAAAAGCGTCACACCACAGCAAAAGCGGCACCTGGCGAAAAGCAGCACCATTTGGACGCCATGGAACCTCAAGCTTGGCTTGGCGCACTAAATCTTATGGCGAGCGGCAAATAAAATCTTAATTATTGGGAAAATCTTATTTGTCATTAGATAATCTGAATACAGAATTTTTGGAATGCGTCTACTCTGCGCAACAGTGATTGGAAGAAGTTTTGTTGGCTGATAATCCGGATTCCAGTATGTTTAGATAATGAATGAATTCTCCGCCTGCGACAGTGATTGTAAAGTGAAATCCCATAGCGATAATGGAAACTGTAGAGATATTCGATGATCCGAAAACTTATACTGTACTTACAGTGATTAGAAAAGCATACCAATTTAGCATGAAAACATCACAACCGTTTGATGTTTTAATGCATTACTCAACTCAAATGGCCCAAACTGAATTTCATGGGATATACACTGTATAAGCATCGGCCAAATATAGACTTTTGGCGATGTGAAAATGTGTTATGTTGGTGATTACTTTGTTATCATCTGGATAATCTTGTTATTTTAATGCTATGGGTGAGTGGAGTGGATTTATGATTTCATGCACTTTTAGCAATATTCCAGCTATATCGTGTTATGAAATCTTGCTAATGTTATGAAATAAAGACCATTAGTCAACGTCATTGATTGCTAATGTTATAATTAAGCGAACTAAAACATAAAAGTCAACATCATACTGTGTTTTATTTACATATGGTGCCGTTTAGCTCAGAAATCAGTAGCGTTTTAAGCCAATGCGGTTGCCGTTTTTGCCAAACGATTTTGATTGCCATTCTGCTGTGGTTCCGTTTTGGCTATTTTCTGTTATGAAAATTTCAGATTGTCTCTTGACAAGGTTGCAAGATTTCAGTTGGGACTTAAATCCTGCACTTGAGAATCACAACAGCAGTTTAATGGTCTTTTAACCGTGCATATAGCACAAAATAGGAAAATCATATTTATCTGTTGTGTTTAATTTGCCCCTGTTGTATATAAAGATGGGGATTAAACGAAGTAAACTAGGTATGTAAAGTATATCCCTACAGTTATTACTTTGAAAAAGGATTGACTTCATCCCCGTCATCCCCTTCGAAATACCAGTATGATCAGGCATCTCTTTCTACCAGCTGATCATATTGACAATATTCTGTATTTCATTGCAAATATTCCTTATTTTATTAATTCATTACAGAGGGATATGACAATGAATATTTTATAAACTATCTTACTTTCGATTTCACATCTGTCTTAGTAGGTATCCTGCTAGCCTCGTCTGACTCCATTTCACAAAAATATACTGCTTTCCCACGTGCACTTGTTTTACACTGTAAACTTCCGGTAGTGTGCGCATGGCAGTTGTGCTGAACGGGAAGTAAACGGGAAACAGAACGTCAACACTTGGCGCCAGATTTCGAGAAGAAAAGCGACAGCCTGTTTGAAGAAAACTGAGGTGGGGGTATTGCGAAAATGTGTTTTAATGGTGTTACTAACAGTACTGTACCGGCACGTACACTGAAATGTTACTCAGATTGAGATTTTCTTAGACTTTGTGCCTTTTCATGATCTGTCGACAGAAAAATCGTCTGCACGATTTTAGTTTGGAACCTTCAAGTAACATCGCCTTACGGAGTGGTTGTTTTAACAAGGGGTAGGGTTGAGTTGGGCTTTACGTCACATCGGCATTATTCCAGCCATATAGTGACGAGAACAAGTCTGCATTATTAAACATTGTAAGTACAGAGTCAGAATAAGTTTTATTTCAAAAACATATATTCATGACATTGTCATTTAAAAACAGAAAAAGTCATAGCACTAAATTTAAAGCAGGCAATTTGTTAGTCACATTACACAGTTACAATTTATGATACAGATCAACTTCCCTCAGGTAGTTCACTATCAGATGAGCACTCACGCAGGAGAACAGATCTTTCAGATCTGTTGCATCATAATGTGAGTCCCTTGCAGACGATAAGTCCACACAGTCAAGCAAAATATGCTTGATGGTGAAAACCTCATCGCAAGAGACACACATGGGGGTCCTTCCCCAATCCGTTTTCAGCAGATAGTCATGTGTAAACCAACTGTGGCCAATATGACATCGTCGTAAAATTACCTCATCATGTCTTGACTGACAACCCAAGCAGCACTGTAGGTATAGCCAATTGTTGGCTTCAGTTCATACAGTTTATTTCTTCCTACTTGAGTGTCCCACCTCTTTTGCATGAGGTCCCGAGTATAGCTGTTGATAGTGGGTTTGAAATCACTGTACAGGATCAGCAGTGGAGATCAGGGCTTGTCAAGAGCTGCTTTAGCTGCAGCATCGGCTTTTGTGTTACCTGCTATGCCGACGTGGCCCGGCAACCAGCAGAGGACGATGTCACATTGGCCAGTAGAAAGGTCGTTGTAAAGTTCTAAAATGTCCAGAATGATTGGGTGACTTGAAGTAACATTTTGAAGTGCTTGAAGGCAAGATAATGAATCTGTAAAAACGATGCAGTTTTTGGAATGATTCTGCTGTTTAATGTAGGTCAAAGCTGAGAAGATCGCTTTGGCCTCGGCAGTGAAAACAGAACTGGCTGTCGGGAATCCTAGAGGAGACAGTCTTGGATCCTATGACTGTAGCACTGACAACTTGGCCCTCATCCTTAGAATGGGATAGGGAGTGAGACTGGTCTTGGGAGTTTATCACATCATTCTGAACCACCCCAACCCCACTCCATGCTCTAGAGGGAGGCCAAAATTGTGATAGATATTCTTCTCATGATCATGGTGATACGACACACTATCAAGGATCGAGGTTCGTGAGTTGGGTTTTACCCCACTTTGACAAATATTACAGCAATATCAACATGGGGACACGAGAAATGGGCTCCACATTTTGTACCCATGTGGGGACACAAACCCAAGTCTTTAGTGTGACAAGCAAGGGCATTACCACTAGGCTACTCCACCATCACCTGGCTCTTATTAATGAGTTAAAAAGGTGTAAGTACATAGTTGATATATTCCAGAAAAAAGAACACTCGTTTATATATTTTAAATTTTAACTTCATACAAAACTTCAAGACTAAATAAGATATGTGAATTCTTTTTAAGATACTCACACTATCACAGCCCAAACCAGTATTTTCTTTCCATTTCAGAATGAGTGAAACTGAAACCCTTACTGACCAGAGCATGGCAGAAAGCACGGATATTAATGATGGACCCAAGAAATTCTGCCCCCCTTCCACGCCAGAGTCACTACCAAGTATGTAGAAACTATTACTATTAGGGCTTATCTAGACATATTCAGTGGCCGATTCTTATTTCCAATCTGCAGCAAATGTTTATAAATATTTCCAGATTGGAATGAAAGCTTTTCAGTTCTTTATATTATTCATATGATGGTAAGGCTAGAAGTCCATGGGATTGTTACAGATTTTTGCCGGAAATTTAAGGTCAGTAGAAATAAAACTCAGTTTAATTTCAGTTTCAAATGTATTTTGGTAATTTGGCTAAAACATTTTGGAAAAAACTGAGATTCTGTTTAGTTCTTATTTCCAGGGTTTTTTAAATTGCATTGTAACATTACACTCAAGAAAAATAACACAATTTAAAACAAAATAACATTCGTTTCTCAATATTCACCAGCACTTATAGTCCGTTTGGCTCAAAAGCAGACCGATGAATTGCAATCTAACTCGAAAACTAATAAACATAAAGTACTCAATGAAACGCTGATCATAATCAAAACATCATACCCACTCTGTGAGGTTTTTGCAGAATTTTTGTCCTAAAAATAAAAAAGTTGTTTAACAAACTATCATTAAAATATTGACCCAGTTCACTGTTTGTTACGAGGGAGGAGTGCAGAGAAAGGGACAGCCAGGTGTTCGAGAATGGATGGAAACGGCACAGCACAGGTTAATAGTAAATAACTTTGTCTGTGAACATGCTTCTCAACACCTGGCTGTCCCTTTCTCTGCACTCCTCCCTCGAATAAACAGTGAACTGGGTCAATATTTTAATGATAGTTTGTTAAACAACTTTATTATTTTTAGGACAAAAATTCTGCAAAAACCTCACAGAGTGGGTATGATATTTTGATTATGATCAGCGTTTCATTGAGTATGTTATGTTTATTAGTTTTCGAGTTAGATTGCAATTCATCGGTCCGCTTGAGCCAAACGGACTGTAGTTGGCAAATAACCTAATTTTCAGATGCTTATACAAGAAATTTCATGTTTATTACTGGTATTGTGCACAATCTTGTATTTTCAGTTGATGTACAAGAGGAGATTGAGTGCCTGTATGAATTTGTTCCTGAGGTTGCTCAACACTTTAGAATCACAACAAGATAGGAGAAGGTAATTCATTGTTAACACATTTCATATATAGGTCCGCCTCCTATTCTCGGGTTTCCTATTCTCGCTAAATACGCTTCTGCCGAAATCACCGATGCGATGACACTTAGCGGTTGTTTACATCACCGACTGGTAACTAGGAAGTGGACCAAGTCGGTGAATAATCAAAATCTTGCAGTGTCCACGAATATTGGGGAGTTTATACCAACTTGACATATCATTACTTTTTCCGCCTTTTCCGCAGGATGACTCTTACATACACTCAATAACGTTAATTCCTCGTAAATACCGCGAGAATAGGAAAAGCCTCATTTCATCAATGGCGGATGGCATTGTTTATCACCGGAGCTCACGAGTGGTAATTCACCTGATGGATCTGGCAGCTGATAGATGTAGATGATAGAGGAGAAGGCCCTTCATTTAAAACAACAAGCATTCATACGATAAGAATTTGTTTATGTTATTTTTCAGCCGATATCCGTAGTACCGCGAGAATAGGAAACGCCTTCCTACCAAGTATTACATTGGTGAAAGCGATTTTTGTTTACCTTTAATATCACACCCAAATACGATTTGTTACAATTGTTTAAAGTTCCTCATATATATATGTATGCACAGCCACTTACATGGTATGAAATAATCAGCAGGAACCCCCAGTTATAGAAATACCTCAATGACCCACAATTTTGTCTAATGATAGGTCCAATGCTGTAGCAGTAAAACCAAGGCAGACTGATTGAGTTTGGTTTTACCGCTTTTAGCAATATTCCAGCAACATCACGCTGTTGGACACCAGAAATGGGCTTCACATTGTACCCATGTGGGGTTTCAACACAGATTTTTGGCGTGGACGAGCCAATGCTTTAACCATTTGGCTACCCCACGCCCAAATCAAGGCTGGACCTAAGTGAGTGAGTGAGTTTAGTTTTACGCCGCGATACAGCTATGTTCCAGCTATATGGCATCAGTCTGTTAATAATCAAGTCTGGACCAGACAATCCAGTGATCAACAGCATGAGCATTGATCTGCGCAATTGGGAGCCGATGACATGTGTCAACCAACTCAGCGAGTCTGACCACCCGATCCCGTTAGTTGCCACGACAAGGATGGGTTACTGAAGATCAATATAACCTGGACCTTCACGGGTTTGGCAGAACCTAAGAGTAGTGCTTGTTGCCATTACAGGGACATTCAGCTCTGTGTTCCAAGCTTGTCTCAGACATCACCCGGAAGTAAAGCAGCAGTTTGCCCTGAAACACATCATTCCGACCAGTCATCCATCTCGGATTGAGGGAGAACTACGGTGCTTGCAGGAAATTGGGTATGTTTCTCTTCCGTATTATAAACAGTCCGAGATGTAACGTTTGCGAGACAGATGTGCTCTGTGGTACAAAATGAAGAGCTCCGCCCAATAATTTGATCACCATAAATCCAGCTTGAATGTGAACACTGGGAGTGAGATTAATGCATCATGTTTTCATAAGGTCCTTTCTTTGTCAGTCTGTAGTATTTCACCCATTAATGCATACGGTGCTTGCAGGAAATTGGGTATGTTTCTCTTCTATATTATAAACAGTCTGAGACGTAATGTTTGTGCAGATGTGCTATGTGGTACAAACTGAAGAGCTCTGCCCTATAATTTGATCACTATAAATCCACTGGGAGTGAGATTAATGCATCTTGTTTTCATAAGGTCCTTTCTTTGTCAATTGGCAGTACTTCACACTGTCAAAAAACGAGTGGGCAGTCAGTTTAGACTTGAACGTGGTACTGAAGGTGTAGATTTGAGATTAAATAGGAGAACGTTCCAGAAGACTGCAGTGTTTCAGAAAGAGCAAAATCATCTCTTATATTGAATGTATGCCCAAAATATACTAGTCTGAAACTTATGAAATTAAGGATGGATTTATGATGTTTCCTTGTGGACTGTCATTAATACTATTATATAAGTATTTAGACTTAGAGAATGAACTTTAAATTGATAAATACTGCCTTATATTGACTATGTGTCATACATTTTACATTAGTATACTGTTACCAGCAAGTGCCATTGTCAGGCTTGTGTTCAAGGACCACTGGTTTCATTGTTCTTGATAATACAAGAATGATACTGTTATGTGTGGCAACCTCTTCTATAGCATCTCTGTAGCAGGTCAGTTCTATGTGCAGGAGAAAATATAACTTAATCTCTGAATATCATCATGTGTCTCTATTTCAGGGGATGCGAGAACGTGATAGGTGTGGAGCTATGTATCAGAAACAGGGACCATGTTGTCATCGTCATGCCCTACTTCGCACATGACAAGTTCCCAGTGAGTCAACCCATCTGTCTAGTACACTGATTGTCTTGTCAGTAAGTGATATTAGAATGTGTAAATGTTTAATTGGCAAGGCTTCAGTGAACGTGGTGAACAATGTAACAAGACCATGTCTCTTGACTGTGAAGTATTTTCTTACTGGCTTTGTATGCAATGAGTACAATGTAAGGCTTGTACAATACATATCATGAATATAGGGTAAAGAATAAGGCTGTAACGATTCACTCGCATATTCAGTGAATTGAACCGTAGCCCTTCATGAATTCAGTTCGTTATTCGTGGTCTCCAGAACCGAATATATACGATTTTTTTAAGGCAGCATGTTTTACTTGAACCCTTGCATACTTTTGGAAAGTGAGATATGCAAGAATTGAATATGTACTAGCCTTGCAGTAGCGAAAGTCATGTTAGTTTGGCAAGGCTGCACATGGTACTGGCAACTAAAACTATTACATACCAAATTTTTGTGTCATGAGATCACTTGTTATTGCTGTGACAAATCAAAACTCAACATGGGCGTTCCATATTGTACATCAATCACTTAACTACAATATTCGTGAATAATTATTCGTATTCATTACCCAATATTCATGACAGCGTATCATATTCGCCACATAGTGTATTCATTGCAGCCCTAGTAAAGAATATGAATTGTGTAGATCGATGCTCATGCTTTTGATAACTGGATTGTCTGGTCCAGACTCGATTATTTGCACACTGCCGTCATATAGCTGGAATATTGCTGTGTGTGACACTAAACAAACTAACTTATGTTGATGTCATTGAAAATAATTGATAATACATCAACTGCTGACCTAAGTCTGAAGCTCGTAGGACTGAGTACTAATGACGTTTTCCGTATGAACTACTACTGTATATTAATTGTTTTTTTTAAACTCTGTGTCTCTGCCCCTAGGATTACGTGCTGGAGATGCCACTGACAGAAGTACGAAACTATATGCTGTATATTTTATGCAACTCTGTCTCTGCCCCTAGGATTACGTGCTGGAGATGCCACTGACAGAAGTACGAAACTATATGCTGTATATTTTATGCAACTCTGTCTCTGCCCCTAGGATTACGTGCTGGAGATGCCACTGACAGAAGTACGAAACTATATGCTGTATATTTTATGCAACTCTGTCTCTGCCCCTAGGATTACGTGCTGGAGATGCCACTGACAGAAGTACGAAACTATATGCTGTATATTTTATGCAACTCTGTCTCTGCCCCTAGGATTACGTGCTGGAGATGCCACTGACAGAAGTACGAAACTATATGCTGTATATTTTATGCAACTCTGTCTCTGCCCCTAGGATTACGTGCTGGAGATGTCACTGACAGAAGTACCTAAACTATATGCTGTATATTTTATGCAACTCTGTGTCTCTGCCCCTAGGATTACGGCTGGAGATGCCACTGACAGAAGTACTGAAACTATATGCTGTATATTTTATGCAACTCTGTGTCTCTGCCCCTAGGATTACGTGCTGGAGATGCCACTGACAGAAGTACCTAAACTATATGCTGTATATTTTATGCAACTCTGTCTCTGCCCCTAGGATTACGTGCTGGAGATGTCACTGACAGAAGTACTGAAACTATATGCTGTATATTTTATGCAACTCTGTGTCTCTGCCCCTAGGATTACGTGCTGGAGATGCCACTGACAGAAGTACCTGAAACTATATGCTGTATATTTTATGCAACTCTGTGTCTCTGCCCCTAGGATTACGTAGGCTGGAGATGCCACTGACAGAAGTACTGAAACTATATGCTGTATATTTTATGCAACTCTGTCTCTGCCTTAGGATTACGCTGCGGCTGGAGATGTCACTGACAGAAGTACAAAAACTATATGCTGTATATTTTATGCAACTCTGTGTCTCTGCCCCTAGGATTACGTGCTGGAGATGCCACTGACAGAAGTACGAAACTATATGCTGTATATTTTATGCAACTCTGTCTCTGCCCCTAGGATTACGTGCTGGAGATGTCACTGACAGAAGCTGCAGAAACTATATGCTGTATATTTTATGCAACTCTGTGTCTCTGCCCTAGGATTACGATGCTGGAGATGCCACTGACAGAAGTACGTGAAACTATATGCATATTTTATGCAACTCTGTGTCTCTGCCCCTAGGATTACGTGCTGGAGATGTCACTGACAGAAGTACGAAACTATATGCTGTATATTTTATGCAACTCTGTCTCTGCCCCTAGGATTACGTGCTGGAGATGTCACTGACAGAAGTACGAAACTATATGCTGTATATTTTATGCAACTCTGTGTCTCTGCCCCTAGGATTACGTGCTGGAGATGTCACTGACAGAAGTACGAGACTATATGCTCAACCTTCTCATAGCTCTCCGACGTGTGCACAAGTTTGACATCATCCACAGAGATGTCAAGCCCAGCAACTTCCTCTACAACCGAGAGACCAAACAGTATGTGACAATTACCTGCTGAGATATTGATAACAAGCTGTAGTCGGCTGTTGTCTTAAAGGATTCAAATAATGTTTTAGTAATAGTTGGAGCAGGGTGCTCAAGGCTTGACAATTTCTTGAATTTTCAGTTTGTCCTGTAAAGGCCATAAGTCAGCATTTCCCTTAAATTGGCCTTGAAAACAAACAACATAATTTGAAAAGGCCTTGAATTACACCATTACCAGGGATGGCAATTTTCTGCTGATCCACAGATTTCCGTGGATTTTATTTCAAATTTCATTGAGAAACCCTAAACCCGATGACACAACATTAATTCTTTTTCAGAAGAAGTCCTCCTTGGGGTACATATAAGCATTTAAATGTCCATTTAAATTCCTACGACAGTTGTAACTATATTTTTTAATAAAATATTTACAAAACAAAAACTCGTTTTTGTCTTGTGAGACCACCCCTATAGGGCCCCCTCGGGGCCCCCTACAGCCAAGAGCAGGTAACTCTAGCCGTCAACCTCGCACCTCACTTTTCATGCTGTCGTTCATCTTGAAACACTTGTGTGTGATCCATAGAAGTTTGTGCTTCTTCCCCTCGAAATATGAGTGAAAAAGAGTCAAATACTGTATGTATGGTTCCTTTTCTTGCGCACGGGCTCTAGATGGAATTTATAGGCTTATTTTTTCATTCATAAATTGTAAGTTTGCCGGTCGGTTCCCATCTCCAGCCTTATGGCAGGCAAGATGGCGGACCATGTGGCTTACATTCATCCCTAGCGTGTGTGAGGCTTGGTGCCTGCACAGTTTGGATGTTTGTGTGTATGTGTTTACCATATGCTAGGCTGCCTTATCCTTTTTTCGCTTTCAGTGAAATACGGTAAGTCGATGTTGGTAAGTTAGCATGTACTTCTGTATCTGCGGTATATTACGCTGTTGTATGGTAGCACACATAGCTTGCATTTTTCTCCGCTTGTTCACGATACATGTTAAGCTGGTTTTAAATTGCTATAGCGTTTGGGCAAATTTGTTATCGTCCGTGCGGTTTCCTTTTTTGCTATTTTTGTGTGTCAGATATGCGTATATATCTAGATATTTTACTGGGCAACAGTTGGTTGGACCCGCCCTCCCAAAAATCTACAGGCAAAAAGGGTGCTTCCAGGGTGGTTAATGTTGGCGGTAAGCGGGCAAAGTCGGTGGATAAAAAACCCTCTTCCACTTCCCCTTCTACTTCTGCACAGTCCACTCCTGCAACGTTAACTTTGTCAGATGTGTCCTCTCTCTCTTGCAGCAGATGACTTCAGTATGTTCACTGATCACGGATGCGATGTCCAGTCTCCAACAGGAGATCGGTGTCCATTCGGGGTTGAGTGGCAGGCTGGGGTCGTCTGCCAGAGGCCCCCCTATCTTGGGCCTAGGCTCCAGGGGAGCGCTCAACTCGAGGGTCGGCTCCGGTGACGGCCTCCCTGCTGGTTCAGCCTTGTCGGGCTCGAGCTTCGGCTCCGGTACAGTACAGCTTACCGGCGCCGGCCATCAGTTCTTGCACCGATGGCTCCCGGCACCCATGCTGTGGGTTCTCGAGCACCAGCACCACCAGTTCCCTCGATACCTTCCGGCTCTCTGGGGAATCCCACCATGGCGGGCTCTTCCCTTGGATCTCGGCACCCAGGCTTCTCGGCGCTTCTAGATCCTCTGTTGTTGTCCGTGGCCCCTTCTTCTGTTCCTTCGTAGCCGACTCTCGATGCAGAGAGCTCTTGCCTGGAGGAGCGGGAGGAGGAAGCCATGGATAGGGATCAGCTGGGAGAAGCTAGCTTCGCTTTGGCTCGTCCCTGAGGCAGGTGCGCAGGCACATCGCTGCTGTATTGCCTCAGGTGGTTGTCACCTCGCACGACCCCGACCCCTCGGAGTTCCGGCTTCCAAGTGAAGCCTTCACTCCGTGTCGGGTTGCCAATACCCGGCTACACATATTACCTTCGCTTATCAGTGAAGTAATCAACCCTCTCCTTTCAGGTAGTCAGTCACGGTTTGATCTCCATGAGCTCAACCGTCGCTGCTTGATGGGAGAGGAAGTGTTGTTTGTTATGCGCTCTGGTGTACAAAAAGAGGGATTCTCGATCCCTTTTCTGCGACTGTAGTCGAGGTGTTGGAGTTTTTACAGTCTCGGTTAGAGTCCGGCTTAGCTGCATCTACTATCCGAGGCTACTCCACCGCTATTTCAGCCTTCCACATTCCCATCGAGGGTGCCCTGTTAGGGCAACACCCTCTGGTGCAGCGCTTCCTAGCAAGTGTGGACAGACTGCGTCTTGTCGTCGGTCGGTCCAGTCCCACATGAGACTTGTCTCTCGTTTTAGATTGGATGTCCAGTCCTCTCTTTTACGATTTGGCAAAATTGTCTCTCCAGCTACTAAGTTGGAAGACGACATTTTTAGTAGCGGTTACATCTGGTAGTCGGATCGGTGACATACATGCTATGTCATCGGACCCGGAGCTTACTGTGTTTCAAAAGGATCGTGTAAGTATCCGGTTACCAGATTCTTACCGCCCTAACATCGATAACGCGTTTCATATTACGTCACCTATAGATCTTCCCGCCTTCACGCTGCCTGCGTCGTCTAGTAACACTAACCGTAAGGTTCATGTGTTAGACGTCCGCAAGACCTTAAAAGTGTATATTAAGTGAACAGCGTCCATCCGTAAGGATAAACAGTTATTCTGCTGCTACGGCGGTGGCAAGGCTGATCATCCGGCGAATACACAAACCTTGTCAAGGTGGATTGTGTCTGCCATCTGTATGTCTTACATACACAAGGGCTTGAGGGGTTGAAAGCTCATTCGGTGCGTGCAGTAGCTACCTCCAAGGCTTACACTGCTGCTCTGCCCTTTGAGGAGATCTGCTCAGCGGCTATTTGAGCCTAATGAGCCCGCTCGATCCGTCATTATCAGCTGGACAAACACTCACGCGAGGGTGCTCAGTTTGGCCAGACGGTTCTCCTCAGAGTGGACAGAGTAGCACCTCTCAAGCGATTGAGCTTTCCAGATACTTACCTGTTTTGCACTTGGTGTTGGGTTTCTATCATCTCCCTTTATCGGTGACGGTATCTGGTGGTGATTTTTAGTCCCGCTTATCCGCTTGGTGTATCGGTGCCTTACTTTTTACTTTCCATTTGCCACGCTTGGTGAGCTGGGAATGGACGCTTATGGACAGTAGTTTGGTTTGGCGAAGTTCCTTTTGAGTTTTACACCCTCCGTAACTTAGGTCGGGGGGTGGGGTTTGACTGGGGATGTACTGGGGTTTGACTGTCGTGGGAATTTAAATGGACATTTAAATGCTTATATGTACCCCAAGGAGGACTTTCTTCAAAGAATTCATAACCTCTACAGGTTTGTATAAGTTTTCCGCTGAAAATAGATTTTCCTGGTGCCATCCCTGCATTACACACATGATTCTTTTTTTTTATTCAAGAAATACAGTTCGCTCGACCACCATGTATAGTGTAATAAAACACACTATCGCCCTGAACTATTATAGTTAGTAGTGCGAGGGACGCTTTGGCGTCCGAAATTGCTTTTAAACCTTATAATAGTTCAGGGCTTAAAGTGTGCTTTATATTACACTATACATGGTGGTCGAGTTTAACTGTATTTCTTTTCTAAGATGCCAAATTTAATACTTTCTAAGGATAATTACGATTAATTTAAGGCAGAAAACAAACGACGGTGTCGGGTACCTAAATTAAGAATCCTGGCACAGGGCTAACTGGCGTGCTGTTCTATTGATGTGTCTGCCCCACTACGTTAAGACGAATGTTACCAGAAAAAAACAAATGATAACCGTGTGATGACGGTTTACGTTTGGATTAAATATCTTCTCTGAATTATTTTAATTACATCTGTCATTAACGTAAACCATATGGGGCAATATGAACGCCGTGATTTCGACTACCAACGTAGTTTAGATCAGCACATCCAGATGAAGCTGAGTAGTCAAGCCACATTCCATGATTGCATTGTGGGAATGTAAACATTGCGAACGTTGCCGTGTCGCTAAAAACTTAAGAGTCGAAACATTTTAACCGTCGTAAAACATAAACGTAATGTTTCCACCAGTGATGTTAGCTGCGTGAAGCAACTGCAAACCAAGAAACGGGATGCAACGGAGTAGTTTACTGTAGGAGGCCGTACGAGGCGATGACAACTGACATGCATCGTGACGTCGCTTACATTGTGACGTAATGTAAAATGGTTCGATTACAAGGCGGCATACTAGAATGGCGCAGTGAAGGGATAACGTCATTCAATTGTTACGTCATCAAAAAACTATACCTTTATTGTCTGATAATGTATTTTTTTTCTCGATTGATCTAACCGCTAGGCATCTTAGAAAACTATACATAATACAAGTGTACGTAAAGTAGGGTCGAATAACACAAACTTCCTGGCATATTAAGGACCATTTGAAATTTTAGTGCTTTACTGAATCAATGCATTTGGGATCCATTATCATATTTGCATTCAATATAAATCAGTGTTCACGAATAGCGTCGGAGCCTTGGACAAATCTGGCAGATTCGCCGATGGTCAGATGAAAGTCAACAACCCACTGACACCAGTGTCCGACTATATTTCACAATGACTTTGACTGAAGTTGTTATGTGACATGGGACACTTGTTTGCTGTGTATAAATCTTATGTTTATTAACAATTTCAGTGCCAGTTATAAGAAATAATAAATCAGAAATGTATTACAAGGGGGTATGCACTTTAAATGAAACAAGTAGTCTTAGTCTCAGTTAAGACTCATCACGTACCGCATGAGCATTTGTTTCACTGTTCCATCTACTGTGCATACCCCCTTGTAATACAAACCAATAATAACGATTTGAATCTATGATCGTTTGCTTTTATTCATGATTAAAAATAAAAATGTGAATAATATTTGGCACAAATGAAAAAAGGAAATATCCGAAGATTTCCGAGTGTTACGAAGTTTTCCGAATGCATGTCAAAATACCAGTTTTTGATCAGCGTATCGCAATACGTATCGTTTTCATGTCTGAACCGGTAAATACCGGTAAACCGGTTATGTTGCGCAGCCCTAGTTTACATGTATTGGTTTTGTGCAGGTTCTCCCTGGTAGACTTTGGTTTGGCCCACCAAGCCCCAGTGTGTCTGATGAAGAAATGCAAGACATCTCCCAGTGTAGATGTAAAACTCTCCGACAAACACCACAAGTCCGTCCCACTATCTCCATCCAAAAAATATCTTCAAGACAACAATGTCAAGGTAATACAGGAATGTACTTACATTCTAGCAATATGTTTGTTATTCAAATGTTTCTCAGACTCAAATTTGAAAATTGTTAAACCTGAATATTTACAATTTATAATAACTATCACACTAGGGGGGATTTTACCTCACATCCCACATTTGAGCAACCTTGTGTGTATTACCTGCTTATGTCTTATATGTTTCTTTGTTAAGTTCTTAAAGGGACCCTAAAAGGCCTTAAATTTTACACTGCCTCTGTGGTGTGTAGTGGTTAGAGCTGCCTGCCCGAGAGTGGAAGGTCGCTGGTTCGATCCCCGACTGCGTCATACCAAAAGATATAAATATGGTACTTGTTGGTCCTTGCATGGCGCCCGGCATTAATGGGTACAACAAGGACTGGTCGGCTCTGAGTCTGACTGAGGTATTCATGCATCACTGCGGCATGATACCTCAGTGAGCTAGCACTATCAAACCAGCTTAAGTCTGGGCTAGTACAAGCAGACACATACACATGCACGTCGTCATATGACCAAAATATTCTTAAGTACGACCTAAACCCATTTCACCTCACCTCACCTCACCTCACCTTACCTCACCTTAAATCTGATGGCTGATGATCTGTATGAACCCTGTCCTCAAGCCTGGCAGTAATACATGTATTTGAACTTCTAGTCTCCTGCATCCACCGACTTGAAAAGGGAGCAACCGTCTGACCTGAAGCCAGGCACCAGTGGGAAACTTGCAGCACACCGACGACAGTACACACCGCCAACATCAAATCTTGACATGCTCCACTTATCCAACAAAATTAAGTCCCCTCGTCGCATGTTGCTTGCCAAGAGGGCTCTGATGATAAAGGAGGGGCAGGTCTCCAGCAAGCAGCGTTCTTCGTCTTCGTCATCACGTCCAGGGAGCCAGAACACGTGTCAGTGTTTCGGACAGCCCATGGTGTGCAGCATCTGTGTTGCCAGGTGAGGCAAGCATCGTAGTAAAACACATGTTTATTTAGGATTACACTTTCTCAGTGAAGTACAGATACTTGTACGTTTATTGGGTTGAGTCCCATCCAGGATTCGAACCCACACCTTCAGAATCCCAGATGGGACTCAACCCAACATAAGTACTAGAATGTGTACTTTACTGAGAAAGTGTAATCCCAAACATAACATATGTTACATTTTCTAAAAGGCACTGTGTATTCATATCTTAATAAAGTAAATGAGGTTTTCTTTACACCTCTTAGCAATTCAAGCAATATTCAAGCAATATTCCAGTAATATCACGCAGGGGACACTTCAGTATATTGTCCACATGGATATACTGTGTGAAGCCAATTTCTGGTGTCTCTGGAATGGCATTCAGTGGAATATGGACAGTGGCAAAAACACAACTGGTTCACTTGTACCCATCAAGCATTTGCTCATCACTATTATAGGGAATTCTTTTGATCAAGCTGAATTCAGATGCAATAAGTCTTTGATAATTCTTATGTTCCAGGAGCAATCAGACTGCCCCACGCGCCGGTACACCTGGTTTCCGCTCGCCTGAGGTTCTCATGAAGTGCCCTGACCAATCAACAGGTGAGTACTTTACCTGGGTTATCAGTCAACATAGAAAATCCTAATCAGTCAGGAGGAGGTTACATTTAAGAACATTTCAGATTTACCTTTTGACAATATACCTCTCCTGACCCTGTGTAGAAAATATCAAATGTATGTTATTATAGAGGAGCAGCAGTAATAAAGTCACACGGTTGTGATGACATTTCGTTATCTGTGGATATCAGGTGAACCCATGTCATAATGATGTTGTGTATGTGGATATCAGACTGTCTGGAACTGACATTGTGTTTCACCGGTGGTCATTAATGTGAAACTGTCATGGTGACATTGTGTTTCACTGGTGGTCATCAATGTGAAACAGTCATGGTGACATTTTGTTTCACCGGTCGTCATCAGTGTGAAACTGTCTATCATGATGACATTGTGTTTCACCGGTGGTCATCAATGTGAAACTGTCATGATGACATTGTGTTTCACCTGTGGTCATCAATGTGAAACTGTTCTTCATGATGACATTCTGTTTCACCAGTGGTCGTCAATGTGAAACTGTATATCATGATGACATTGTTTCACAGGTGGTTATCAGTGTGAAACTGTAATGATGACATTGTGTTTCACCGGTGGTCATCAATGTAAAACTGTCTGTCATGATGACATTGCGTGTCAGTTATGGTCGACAATGTGAAACTGTCCTGATGACATTGTGTTTCACAGGTGGTCATCAATGTGAAACTGACATGATGACATAGTGTTTCACCGGTGGTCATCAATGTGAAACTGTCATGATGACATTGTGTTTCACCGGTGGTCATCAATGTGAAGCTGTCATGATGACATTGTGTTTCAACAGTGGTCATCAATGTGAAACTGTTCTTCATGATGACATTGTGTTTCAACGGTGATCATCAATGTGAAACTGTCTGTCATGATGACATTGTGTTTCAACGGTGGTCATCAATGTGAAACTGTTCTTCATGATGACATTGTGTTTCAACGGTGGTCATCAATGTGAAACTGTCTGTCATGATGACATTGTGTTTCAACGGTGGTCAATGTGAAACTGTTCTTCAACGGTGGTCATCAATGTGAAACTGTTCTTCATGATGACATTGTGTTTCAACGGTGGTCATCAATGTGAAACTGTTCTTCATGATGACATTGTGTTTCACTGGTGGTCATCAATGTGAAACTGTTCTTCATGATGACATTGTGTTTCACTGGTGGTCATCAATGTGAAACTGTTCTTCATGATGACATTGTGTTTCACCGGTGGTCATCAATGTGAAACTGTTCTTCATGATGACATTGTGTTTCAACGGTGGTCATCAATGTGAAACTGTTCTTCATGATGACATTGTGTTTCAACGGTGGTCATCAATGTGAAACTGTTCTTCATGATGACATTGTGTTTCAACGGTGGTCATCAATGTGAAACTGTTCTTCATGATGACATTGTGTTTCAACGGTCATCAATGTGAAACTGTTCTTCATGATGACATTGTGTTTCACCGGTGGTCATCAATGTGAAACTGTTCTTCATGATGACATTGTGTTTCAACGGTGGTCATCAATGTGAAACTGTTCTTCATGATGACATTGTGTTTCACTGGTGGTCATCAATGTGAAACTGTTCTTCATGATGACATTGTCTTTCAACAGTAGTCATCAATGTGAAACTGTCATGATGACATTGTGTTTCACCGGTGGTCATCAATGTGAAGCTGTCATGATGACATTGTGTTTCAACAGTGGTCATCAATGTGAAACTGTTCTTCATGATGACATTGTGTTTCAGCTGTGGACATCTGGTCTGCTGGGGTCATCTTTTTATCCCTGCTCAGTGGCCGCTACCCGTTCTTCCGAGCCAATGATGACGTCACAGCTCTAGCACAGATCATCTCCATCATGGGTAGTGAGGAGGTCAAGGTCGCTGCCAAGACCTTTGGTAAGATCACACTACAGCATTTAAATATGAGGGTATATTTGCCATTGTATCACCTTTCAAATACATACAATTGTGAAATATACCATAGTCCTCAAGATAATTAAATGCATTAGATGCCGTGACAAGTACAGGTGGAAAAGTCCTTGAATTTGTCAACTGTGTTTCATTCTGCTGTAGGGGCTGTGGGGTAACCTAGTGGTTAAAACATCCTCTCGTCACACCGAAGACCCGGGTTCAGTTCCCCACATGGGTACAATGTGTGAAGCCCATTTCTGGCGTCGCCTGTCGTGATATTTTTGTAATATTGCTAAAAGCATCTTCAACCATACTCACTCACATGTGGTAGATTTCTAGTGATACAAACCTAATAGCATCCAATCATACTTCCAGGTAAGCACCTCACCTGCAGCCCTGTAACCCCAGCTGTGGACCTTAAACGACTGTGTGTGAAGCTACGCAGCGCCCCCAGTCTCAAGGCTGGGAACCAGACGCAGAAGAACGCACACATTCCAAACAAAGAAAATTCCTCAGATTTGTGGGAAAACGTTTCTGACTCTATGTTTTGATTTGCTCAAACATTTACTTGATCTTAATCCTGCAACGAGGATAACTGCTGAAGAAGCCCTCAGACACCCGTTCTTTGTAGACTGATGCAGTGTTTGTTTCTCTTGGAGAATGGATGAAGTTGGCCAGTAAAATTATGCAGACCATGCATTGATCATGAAAAAGATCCTTAACTGGCCAAAGGATGCCTCTTCAGATAAAAAGGTTTTTTTTAATTTTCAAGAGACATCTCCAATTTCAACCGGTGGTTTCTCAACTGGGAAATGAGTCCTCTCAGGTCAAAACAAAGTTCCTCAACTGCCAAAAGGAGGGTTCTCAACTCTCAAAAGAAATCCTTCAACTCCTTAAAGCAGACTTGTCTACCTCTGAAAAGGGTCTCTTTGGACAGAGAGGGCAAGACCCTGAACTCTCAAAAAGAATTTCTTCAAGTAGCCAAAAATGCCTTGAACAATTCACCATCAAAAGAGACAGTTGTCAAAAGGAGGCTTGTCAACTGTCAAAGGGAGGCTTGTCAACTGTCAAAGGGAGGCTTGCAACTGTCAAAGGGAGGCTGATCAACTGTCAAAAGGAGTCTTGTCAGTTGTCAGAAGCAGGCTTATAAATATCTCTCTGTTGTAGCCATGGGGCTATTTTTATGTCATATATTAAACAAGAGATAAATGGAGTGACTTAAAGCAGCCTAGATATTGACGAACTACTTCACATATTTTGATACTTTACCAAAGGAGTGAAAGTTCCCAATTGACTATCTTTGTCATATGTACATTAAAGTGATATTTGTACAAATATACCCAGTCCTAGGCCAAATGTTAGAAAAGTCCCTATCTTTTTAGGATCTCTCAGCAGCAGTAAAAGCGCTATCCACTAATTGGTATGACAACTCCCACCTCAGAGAGATTCTTGTCAATGTGAAACTAGACACAGAATGTATCAGGTTGCTGAAAACAAACAAGGATTACCCCTCTGTTGAAACAGTGTCCACATGTTCATAGACCAACTGCATGAGTATTTACCGCGATAGTTTAATGGACGGTGACAAGCACTGATGTTCAACATGATCAGGGATATGCAGTATGGGTGATAAGGCCTGGTGTATCATATTACCTGATAATGATGTTATCGCTACATTTGGCCTAGGAGTACATAAAGAACATTGTAAACCAAGTTAATAGTAGGGTTGAAACGGTATAAGTAGAACCGCTGTACTTTGTCTTCTGTTCGGTATATCATAATGCAATCCAAAATTCGTTATTTTCGTTTTTTGTACTGTCATTTCTATCTAGACACAAATAGTGCTCTTGTTCATTCAAAATATCAAACATTATGGTTATTTGTTTTCCATGTTATTAACAATGTAAGGTTTGGCTCTTGTTCACAATTTTCTGCATTAAGATCATATCTCATGCACCAAACTGAATCGGACAAAACCAAAGGCCTTGTACCACAATAAGTACCGTACCGTGGTTTGAGCGTACCGTTTCACCCCTAATTGATAGGTATTCTAAACTGTCATCCTACAATGACAGCAGTAAGGTTAGGTTACAAACTGATTTTTGTCTTGCTTGATTTGTGCAATATTTGTGGTAGGAAAGACTTGTCTGAATCATCTGAAACACTGCCATTTAGTTTCAGAACCGCTTATAAATGACTAGGGCCCAGTATTCATAGGTTCTGAGCCAAAATTGGACTTAATTAAGTGCTGGTGTTTGGTGTGGATTTTACTTAAACCAGACAAATTAAATGACAATTTCAAATGTCCCTGACGTTAGTTGACGCTGTGATATGCTACTTACAAAAGGTTGGAACAACACAATTTATTAATCCATCATGCGATGTATGTCAATTTTCATCATTTAATGCTCGAAAAGAAGAGAAGAACAAGTGAATTTTAAATTTGACAATGTGAAGCTGTCATGACATATGTGCAATTTCAGCTGTATGCTACTCAAAAGAAATTACAGAATAAATGGCAGATTAGCTATAACCCAATTCACTCACTCACTCACTTCATAAGCTGTAAAATAAACTTGATGTTAGATAAGTCTTAATCCCTCAAGATTTGTGTTAAGGTTGCTGTAGAAATGATTATTTTTTCCAGAGTGTTTACTAAAGTCAACAGATAATCTCTTCATGTAATTGTACATGAGATGATCATTAAATTAAATTAATGTTCAAGAATGATTGAGATAAAAACATTTGTACATTTCCCTGTTCCATAAACCAGTCGTAAAGCTTTTCTGAAATATAGGAGTTATAGCCCTGTCAGCATTTTGATAATGTGATATGAAATTTGCTGTGTTAACCTCTCAATTGATTATTCTGTGGATGGTCTAGATGTCTCCCTTTCTATTCATTGCATTTTGAAATGGTATAAACAACAAGTAACAAATAGAGCACTTTACCTGTTCCAAGAAATACCAATTTCCTGAGACTCATGAAGATCTGGGTTAGAATTGATCTTCAGTAACCCATGCTTGTCGTGAAGAGGCTTAATTGATCAGACTTGCAACTTGGTTGATACATGTCATCATATCCCAATTGTGTAGATCAATGCTTATGCTGTTGATCACTGGATTGTCTGTTCCAGACTGATTATTTACAGACTGACGCCATATAGCTGGAACATAGCTGAGAACGGTGTAAAATTAAACTCACCACTCACCATTTTCATGTAATAGTATGTGAAGTATCACTTGTCAGACAACAGAACTTTTCCCACATTTAAAAATATTTGGTATTAAAGAGAGCTTGTGTTATATTGTATATTTAAGTGATGATTTTATTTTTATATGAAAGTTTACGCTTTAGGCATTAAAGTTGTGTTAACATGGTTGATGCATACTATCAGCTTCAAAACAAAATGAAATAGATGCAGTGAAATATGATTAGCATATAGTTGTAAATATGAAGTGTTAATATTTTGGAATATTATTTAATATTATTAAAAAATGAACATAATTGTGTAAGTTACATTTGTGTTTGATAATGAATGTGCCTTTGAACATGAACATGTGTGACATCTGAATGAACAAACAACAACAGATGTTTGTTTTTACATCTCTGAGTTGGTTTCGAATAAACAACAAAAAGATTTTGAGTGGCATTTCATTTGCATAATGCCCTCAAAAATGTTTCAGCTCATTGTGTTTCTGGTTTCTTGCATTCAGCATTACTCCAGGTAAAAATGACCAGGGCTCCTTTCACAAAACAAGCTTTTACTAAGGTTAACCTTAACTCCTTTCACAAAGCACTAAGGTGATCGGAAGTCACCTAAGGTAACCTTAGTGCAATGTTAATGAATGAGAGTAGTAGTTTGCTTCGGAAAGGAGCCCTAGGGCCTCCTTTCACAAACACTTAGGTGAGCGTAAGTCACTAAGGTAACCTTAGTGCAATGTTAAAGAATGGGAGTTCAGGTTAACCTTAGTAAAGGTTGCTTCGTGAAAGGGAAACCCTCGGGTGGTGTTGTACAAAACAACCTTAGCGCCAAGACTACCTTAAGTCTATGTTAAGGTATGGGAGTTACGGTCACTTTAGCGCTCAGGGCCCGGTTGTTCAAAAACTCGGTTATCTTTTAACCAGTCGTTAAGTACATTTAACCGACCGTTAACCAATAACAGAGGGTTATCTTGTTGTTCAAAACTCTGTTAACTTTAAACAGGTTGTTAACGTGACGTTAAAGTTAACACACCTAAGGACCGCCGCTAACTTTGTAAGTGTGGCTAACTCGCAAATGGCGTCCATGGCTAACACTGCTTCTTCTATGAGGCCAGTTCAGCAAGGAAATGATAGGGTGTATCGTGGACTGGACTTCGCTACTGGAAATTATTCTGGACGAAGAGTTACATACGAAACTGTAACTATATATGCACTTCATAGGAACTAACATACATGTTGTACAAGAACATGATGCCTACGTTTCATCTTTTAACACTTGTGTAAAGGTTTATATATGTTTTACTACACTAAATGTGAATTTCTTCTGTAAATATTATTCAAACAAACACTTTCAAAGAATCAAACACGTACACCCTATACCCACGTATTGTATGATATTGAACAAGACTAAATGTAGATAATTAAATTAGTTTCATGAAAAAATATCCGAATGAATACTAGTACATTATGATACTGAAAGTGTAATCGGCAGGATATGGTGATTGTGTATACTCTTATTCTACCGACCTTCACCTCAGAGAAATTGCCCAAATATGTACAACAATGTTGACGTATGACATCACTACCGCTGAGATTTCCTAAATAATGGTGGCTGACATGGGTTTTGCATGACCCTGCCCCTTGATTCAGGGATCGTTTGTACATAAATATGAGATGTAAGTAATCAGAATGATTCTGACTATCTGTGTATTGTTACATGTTTTTATCGTTTTCATTTTAAGAAAGAGAAGGAGCGGCCAGAAATGCCGATTATTACCGTTGTCGTTTTTCGTAATTTTGCGTCAGCCATGGCTCACTTCACCCTGCACAGAAACTCTGGACAGTTTCGTATAAACATATCACATTCCTGTATTGTATCTATTTTTAATTTCCTATTTCTTGCTACTATGCTCTTCCCATGCAAATGGGTGTCTGAAAAATTGAGAAAATGCTACACAGCATTAAGTCTGAAATTTTCTTTGTTTACATTTCAAACAGGTGTTGTCTTTCGAGCACAGCATTTGTTTCCACCCCCAATATCTTTCGTTTCAGTTTATCTAGACACTTGGTATTGGGTGAGAAAGACCAGTTGTAATTAGATTCTAAAATGTATGAGGAATTCAGTAGGGCTGGGACGAGTAGGAAAAAATGGAATCGAGTACCCGCATGTACTTACCTGAATCGGAATCGAGTAATCCCGGAAATGTAAGAAATACATTCGGGTCAACCTCTCTGAATATTCAATCACGATTTGACAGAGACTATTAAAGAAAAACTTGAAAAGTGGTAATAAGACATGAAAACTGACCTCAAGCTATTGAATGTAATGTCTGTTTAACCAATATAGAGAGTAACACCATTACTTACACTCCTCGTTATAACAACGAACGTTTCTGTTCCTGCTGCTACTATAACTTAACTACTCACTGCACATGCACAGATAAATTACAGTCATTAAAACTATGTTTCATTAATCGGACAATACCAATGATGTAAAACCCGTGAATTTCCGGGTTAGAATATTGATCTTCAGTTATAACCCATGCTTGTCGTAAGAGGCGACTAACGGGATCGGGTGGTCAGACTCGCTGACTTGGTTGACACATGTCATCGTATCCTAATTGCACACATCGATGCTCATGTTGTTGATCACTGGGTTGTCTCTGTCCAGCCTTGATTATTTACAGACCGCTGGAATATTGCTGAGTGCGGCGTAAAACTAAACTCACTCACTCAATGATGTAAATGTGTGTTACGTCAAAAACGAAAAAGACAAGCTATTGTCTGCCCTCGTCATTATAGAGCTCTCTCCCTTTCCGGGTACCCGATTCCTAGAAATAGGACTCGATTCCAGCTGTACCCGACCCGGATTCGAGTACCGTAGTACCCGTCCCAGCCTTAGAATTCAGTGATGCATTTGTCGCCGCTGAATATGAAATATATGTGATGTAATTGGCGTCTCAATACCGGCCTTCGCGAAACGTTGTGAGTTGTGAGTGATATGCAGGCCTACTTCACAGTCACTTTGATTAATTGTTATATTTGAATATCGAAATATTTTTCACAGCGAACACAACACTATCTCTTGTCATTTTACACGATAATGTTTGAATTTTAAACTTATTTTATAACA